GCGATTTTCGCGAGCAGCAAACCATCTATTTACAATTTAGAATTTCGCGGCTACGATGGCGGATTTACATGGGGAAATCAAAATAGTAGATACATATTTTATATACGTTGGGCAAAAGGATGAGAGAATGAGTGAGAAAGAGTGTTTGAGAATTGGAGAAACGCGAACGGACTTCGACGTGATGGAATTACAAGTTATATTTTTTGAAAAAAAAAAAAAAATTTATTTCCTGGCTATCTGACTATGAATATCGATGAAATTGCTTGTAAAAGTTAGTGTAAGACTATCTATATATATGTACGTATACTATTTTACATATAGTAATTCATCGAATATTTTTATTTATTTGTTTTTATTTCTGCTCTATAATTTATTGATACTTTGAACTTTGCACTCCAATAGATTCATAGGTCAATTTAAAACACTCATTTATAAATTTTGTAGCAAACTTTAGAATAGTTGATTCCGTTTTGTATTTCACATTTACAAAGATTCTTATACTCCGATTTTATTCATTTTAGAAGACAAAAAGAATTTAGCGTTTCGAATAATTGTCCTGCATAAATATAGTTTTTTTCCTTTTTTATTTTAATAAATCTCTAGATTCTTACACTCCTGTGTTACGATACAATGCGGATATTAATTTTTTTCGCACGTGAATTTAACCGAAGACTTAAAATTTCAACTCGTCAGTCCATAATATTTATTTAAATTTTTAATTTCGCATTGAAATATCGCTGTGATCCAGAGCAGTATAATAAAATGAAACAAACGAAGTCATGGAAGAGAATTGTATTAATATTGTATTGATCATTTTATTCAAAATGAACAAGCTGAGCAAGAGTGTAAAAGTTACATTAATTCCAGAAATTGGAAAACGGGAAAAAATAATGATATTGGAAATACTATTTTTTAAATTTGCTATATTTAGGAAATAAACTAACCGAAACATGTCTTGTTAAGAATTGAACATTGATCTTGTACCCAAGTCCCGTATATACTCATCTCATTTGAAAACTGCTCTTCGTGACTTAATTATATTTAAAGAGCATATTGGAGTGCAAAGATCAAATGTATCTCCATTTGGTAATAACAACTTGCCAAAAAAGGCTTCCATCACGCATATATTAATTCTGTTTCGTTTTTGTTTAATTCAAACATAGCTGCAAAGTAATGCGAACAAAAAAGGAATAAAAGCTATTTAGATTTTATTAGTTTGCGTGATTTATTTGACGTTTTTTCACCTAAGTGCTAGACAATTTTAATAGAGTTCGATATTACGTGGCGTATTTATTTCGAAAGATCATCGATATATTTAACCCTCTACAACGTTTCCCGCGTAACTTGAAAATTACATATTTTCTAAGTTTTATTTTGTCAGCTTGTTACTTCACTGTCGTATATTATTAATACAATATTATAAAAATACGAAATGTATTGTTATTCATAGCAATTTCTAGTTCCTAGTCTTTTAATTGGGGTAAAGAGCTACAATTAATTAATAACATATTTCTCCTAAGTAAGTAAGTAAATAAAATTCTGGTTATAGAGGGTTAATGCGACCACATTCAATGATTATTGAATTATCCGAATGGTTTCAGTATTATGCAAGGCGGATGTTGGATCTAAATGAATCCGTGGCGAAATATTGCTTTTAATTAAATATTGTTTTTTCAGATGTAAAGTATACAGTGAGATAAATGGCAAGAAAATGTATCACGTTTTTAGGAAACAGAATTATATGTGAGAGCAATGAAAAATAGATTACTGTTATTAAAATGAAGAATATAATACTTATTGTTAGTAGATTATGGATACACATCGTGCCCTTATCATAAATTTTCTTTTATTCGTCACTGTAGATTTGTAGAATATTATTTTTTTCTCATAATGATAATAATCAATAATAATTAATATTATTTATTTTATATTTTATTACATTAACCCATAACCATATTTTCATTAAATTATAATGTGAAATCTCAGAGATTCCTCTAAATTGGTGTTAATATTATAATTTCTTTGTGTAATATAATTACGATAACATTAATTATAATAATAATATTAATTGTATGAATATTGAGTATAATTTTGTTATATATTTGAGAAGATATTTTTTACATTTTTTATTCAAAGTTCTAAAATTTACTTTAAACAATCCTAAGAATATGGCCTATTATAAAACAATTTTGAATGATAAAAAGAAAAATACTATCATATTATTAAAATAACAGTCTCCCAGAACTCATGGCATCGGTTACAGGTTAATAATACTTGATTTTACATACTATATTATTATAATTTCACTTTATTCGCTAGAATAATTCACGAATTCGTTATTATTAATAATAATGGATCCAACATTCGCCTGACGAAGATCACACGATGCTTAGAACGAGATATCTGCCTCTTTAATTCTCTTCGATGTACATTCGAATTATTTTTCTTTTTCGCAAAGACATTCCAGAATCGATGATCGATGTGACGTATCCCAAAGTAGAATAAAAATTATCGATAATGTACTCCAGCCTAAGAACGAGTTACGAAAAAAGAAAAAGAAAAAAAACAGAAAAAAAAAGAAAGATACATAAAGCAAAATTCACACGCATAGTTCGCACGTTATATATGTTTGTATACTATGTTAATCTCCTATAATAGTGAGTGTTGTAACACATGTATACCTGTGAAAAAAAAGAGATGAAACAAAACATGTAAAAGGAGATCAATAAATCAAAAACGACAAAATTATATTTCATTGGTGCCAAAGCAATACGTTTATACAGTTTCATCTTCATTCTGTCTGTCACTCTATTCCTAAATGCCTCCAACGTCAAACATTCTAATCGATGTGACATCGATGGGACAAATTCTATATCACGATCGCTGAACTGTGGACATTCATGCATTTGTGGGAAATTTGAATTTACAAAACTCCACGTGCACGTGTTTATACGTAAACGTGGAAAGTGTAGCGTTCACTATTAATAACTAACTATGGCCTCAATAATATTTTCTCTTGGTTCTATCTTTTTAATTGCAGCCGTGAATGCCGGAATTCGCATAAACATCCGCAGTCTAACGATTACATTCATTAACGCGAGGTAGAGACTTCAACTTTTTCTTTTTAATATTAACAGAAAAATTTCTAATTCCTTAAACGCCCACGGAATTTGAAGAATCTGTGTGAAGAGATAATAGCTTTCTTTATTTGATTATTCTGCCTTTTTATTTTGCTACAGCTTCTTTTAAATTTCTATGAAATATTATATTATTTCATACTTTTATTTTCGGGAAAGAACTACTTTTATGTACAACTGTTGAAAGTATTCGAACATACGTAGGAACTTTTCACGATTGTATTATGCGTGTAAAACATTTAGAAATTTTATTGAAACTGTAATGAGACTGTCACAATTACAATATCTGGTAATACAAATCGAGAAATGCAGAAATTGTGAAATATTTAATAAAAGTATATACCTCGCAGAAGTCACAAAAGTATTTAAACAGACAATCAATTATATCAACAAATTAATATTCGGTGGGAGTACCTTTGATCAATGTGTTTATTCATATTGTATGCTAAATTTTTACTATAAATACATGTTTGTAATAAATATCTTAAATAATGTAATAATTTAATTTAAATAATAATTTCAAATTAGTAAATTCCACCATATAATATAATCGTGATACTCTTGTTTCAATGCAATGTTGACAACACACATAATATACAATATGTACATATATGAAAGTTCTACTGTAAGTGTTCAAATATTTTCATGAGACATTATATGTAAGAAATATTATATATGTAAAATTTTCTACATTGGAAGACGTAATATCACGGAGGTGAATCTTAATGAATTAAAGTGCAAAATTGTCCGAAATATAAATATAAATAATATATAAAATACTAGAACTTTCTGTAACATATAACGTATAATACAATTTTCTATCAAAATTCTAGTTTTTTAATTTTACTCTCAAGAATATAAATTTACATAAAAATCCACAGTCTACGAAACGATTGATCGCAGTCTGCTGGTAATAATTTGTTTGACTTCTAATCATGCAAGATTTTATTTTACGATTTTATTTTACACGTTTCTATTCTCATACGATTAGAAAAAAATTTACATTGACGCAGATTAAATTCTTTGCGTCAAAAGTCGGAGTTTTCCACAAATATCGAATTTTTTTACGTTGTGACGTTTTTATAAAATGTGCACATTTTTACATATATTAAGATATACTAAATAGATGACCTGAACAACTACGCGATCCTTTCTTATTATTATGATAATCGTGCATCACACATAGTATCACGAGAGTTTACATACGTATATATGCAAATTTCAAATATTTAGAGAATAATAATTAAAAATAATAAAAATAGATAACTGAAAATAAATTAAAAATAATTAAAGGATAAGGATTTTAAGCATTTTACTGATATGCAATTTATTTACACGTTAAAGATATAAGATTTGAAAAAGAATGGCGATATATTTTTTATTCGTTTATTGGAAAATATAAATAAATACGAACAAAAAAATCACGAAGTTTATTGTATAATTACTAGATTGTATAAAATGTGTAATATAGACAATCAGAAATATGATAAAATTATAGGTAATAGATTTTCGTAAAATCGTGTCCACGAGTTATTTATATATTCGTCTAAATAAACGTAAGAAACACGAGTATTTTAAAAATTAATTAAATTAATTGAAATCCAGAAAATGTTTAAAATCCTTCTTTTCTTATTTTAAATGTTCGAAATTTAACAATAAAAAGATAAAACGAACAAAAACAATGTACCATTATCATCCTTAGTGCATCATTAATATTAGAACTGATTTTTAATACGTACTAAAATATTCTATATATAAATCATTAAAATAATTAAGACTTGCACAATTTTACATTATCAATATTAACTTTTACGCAAATAACCATATCCTTTGATCAGTTGCAGAAACCGAAAATCTGAGATCATATTGTTCTAGTATTCTAGTTAGTAACACGAATTGAAATCATGTTCTTTCTTCTTTTTTTTTTCTTTAGTTTCACAAAGTATAAAATTCTTACCTTTCATTTCTATAATTAGTACTCAATAAAAAAACAGTTTTGCTTTAAGTGCAATTCTTTCTTCCTTCTTCACATTATATATATATATATCTATCTTTCGTATTGCTGATAATATAGTATAATTGAACATTTACCATATGTACAACAACCTATGCAACATTGTGTTGTGTTTATACATAGTATAACACTGATGTTGTATTTTTATTTTCTCAAAGTATAAAAATTTCAGACTAGGAATTTCATGCTTACTATTTTTACGCGTATGATCTTTCTAATACGGACTTTCGCTTTTTTACTGGCTAAACATATCGTACACTTGCAACACAACTCGGAAACGTATGTTTTCCGGGAGAACTGAGCAGTTTTTGGATAAAATTAGAAATTATTTTGCAGAAACGACGCAGTATAAAATAATATACTTTTCACTTTATGTTTGTAATGATACTCGGTATAAAATATATATTGTAAAACACATTTATAAGATACTGCACCATGTCACGCAAATCATGATGAACCAGCCAAATTAAAAAAACAAATAAATTGATCTAGTGTAGCTGTTCTCCAATATTCCCATAGTTATGTAAACTGCGAATTTTTATGCATTTATGGAAAATTTGAATTTGCACAGATAGTTATATACAGTGCAAGTATGTACAGAACATCGAAAGTTCTGATATTTACTGGAGTTTATCTTTTTAATTATATTCACAAAAACATAAAAACATAAATATCCGCAGTCCACTTATAACAATAACTCGAAAATCATATTCTTTTTTTTTGTTTCTTTTTTCTTGAGTTGCACTATTTTCGTTGCATTTTCACGACATTAAAATTTTACAATTTGTAAAAAAATATACTTCCTTACTACTATATACATAGATACATTTACAAACTGACGCAATAATTAATAAATTTCAAAGAGGACAATCCTATGAGGCTTGTGAAAAAAGATATTTTCCTCACTTTTCTCTTCAATCCATCATTCGATTTAACCTTTTCCTTTTTCCTATCAATTTAACCTTTTCTTTTTAATTGAAACAGACAAATAAATAGAAGTCCGAAAATCCACGCACTGATCACTAGAAATCCTGAGTACACGTTCGGATCGTCGAAATCAGTTCCCTTGTGCATGATCTCTCTCAGTGCGTTACCTGGTATTGTCATAGGCAACGTTAAACTGAGCCATTTAAGAGCCTTTGGCATTCCCTCGATTGGCCATATCAATCCTTGAAAATGTTTAGAATAAGTATTCTGAATAAAAAATTAAACGGTGTGTTCCACTAATTAAAAATAAAAATAAAATGTTATATAAGACGTTTAACTGAATATCTCACGAAGGATCGAAGTTATTATTCGTACGTGATGCGCTGGTTTATTAACATAAATTAATCTTTGGTGTTATTATTATAGAAATGTATTATTTCTATACGTTTACTTTGATAGAATCATCGATATTCGCTTGATCATGGAAATGAAGCTACTATTAGTTAATAATAACTAATTGTAATTCCAACTTGTATTTAATTACTTACCACAAAGAAGAACCAATGGATAAAATGATCCTAATGTCGCGTAATTGGCCACAACGTGAGAAGAGCACGATATTGATATGAAGAATCCTACGAATGATTTTTTACTATAAAAATATCTGACCATAGAATTGTTAGTTCGAGTCGTATTAAATTTTAGTTTTTAATTTTAATTTAATGTGAAAGTACTTTGTCGGAAAATTATTAATTCAAGTCACGTTGAGCTTAAATTTAATTTTTCACTGTGAGGATATTTTATGACAAAATTGTTTCAGTTCAAGTTACAATGTAAATTATATGCAATTATGTAAGATGCGTTTTACATTCGAATGCTTACCGTATACCATTCCGCACAGTGCTGAGAGTGTACTTATCACAATAATCCCAAACATTGACCCTTCACAATCCATATCGTAGTGTCCAAAGCTAAGAATCAACGCCACCGACACTTGTATCACGATTATTATAAATTGTGATATCAGATGAGTAAGTAAGATCTCTGCCGTAGTGACACCTATTTCATATTGAATACGAATAAAGTAATTATTTTAAACTATTTAAGTGTCAGTAATATGTGACTTATTTAATAATACTTATTAAATAATTTATAACGATTGAATTAGTAATGATTCTAACTAATTATAATTAAATAATTTATAATGATTGAATTAGTAATACAAGTCATTCATTATTCTAAACTAACACTAGCCTTCCATATCCAAAATTCCATTATTCGAATATTCTAATATCAGTTCAGAATATTTAATAGTAATAAATCTCTTTCCTTATATTAAACTATTTTATGTTCTTATAATTGCAATGATTTGATAATTCATTGTTAGATTTTTACACAAAGGTTATTTTGCACGTATAATAATTGTTACAATAAAGTCATACTATATTATAAATACGGTATCATTCAGTAAATATGCAATCTATTAAGTTGCAAATTATCACGGTCAAGGTGATACGAGATAAAAAGCGTAGGAAAAGAGATAAATCGAGAGTATTACGTCCACAGTTTCATATGTTTTCCACGTTTAGAATATATTAACATTGAAAAATATATTAACATAGAATTCATTAACATTGTTATTTAAATTAATCTTGAATAAATTATTTTCGACAACCTGCCGTTGTTGATAGAAAGATTTATGATCCATTTAAAATCTCACCTTGAACTAAGATTCTATTCCATATACCAGAATCGCGGTCGGTGATAATTGTACTTGAAGAAACAGACGTTGGCAAGAAAAATAGCAATCTAAAGAAACAGAATTTATTCGCAGCGATGACATATATTATACTGCCATGGAAAATTATAATTTCAAAGAAAAGAAAGAAATAAGGAGAGCTTACGTTAGCAGGAACACTGGGATGACATATTCTCCGTAATTTTGATCCTCCTTGCCGTAAATCGGTTTTTCGAACTGCAACATCAAAACATATATGCAGTATGGCCTGATATCTTATGGCAATTGAGTATTGATCTTTTTAGATATACGTACCTTTATTGGTAAATGCGCATATTTTTTATGAAGTCCGCATTCTTCTACAATTTTTTCAAAGTCGTTGTTGAACATTTTGTACAATTTTTGTGTTGCGAACAAAGCAATCTCCCTGTCTGAAACGTTGATCAGAACCGTGGAAAAATAATCACAGTTATATAATAAATTTAATTTTGTAATTACACTGCAGACTATTTTATGCAAATTAATGCACGTATTTCTTGGAAAAGTTAACTTATCGTACGGAATCTGTACGAGTACGACGAAATTATTTATAATTTAATTTATAATTTAACACATATTTATAATATTGCTTTATACATCATATATTAATATTATATACGTTATATGCATGTTTGCGCGATGCCGATTATTATACTGTTATCACATACTTGGCGTGTGTAGCGTTACGTAGATCGCAGCCGCTGAAATCAGATCGTCAGACATCCTAACCATGTTTTCTATCTTCTCCTGCATGCCAAGTGAAAAGTTCTTTTTGAAATGCATTATTCCAACGGCATCGCGCTTGTTGTTTAATCTGTTCTTCGCCTGCTCGTAATTATCGTAGAATTTCTGAAAATCAAATAAAATCACCCATCAGTCTCATTCTATCAATCGGTTCTTAACTTTCCAATGTATCTCAGTCTTCTAAAATATAGTAATTTTTAGTTTTATAGTCGCGATGGATTTTTGTTCTAAAAGAAAAGATTGTTCCAATATTGAACAATCATGTCTGATACATTTTATATGGTAATTTCAGTGAACATTCAAAGGGTTAATAAAAGGAGACACAATTGACACAAATATGACAATTTGGTCTTAAATATGTTCGTTATAAATATAAGAATTGAGAGAGAATCAAACTATGAGTAAGAATTATAATACTAGTTTTTCTTCTATATTTCTTAGGTACCTTTTCCAAAATATTCTCGTCTATTCCAGCTATGAACCTACAGCTGAGATCGATGAACTTGCACGTCCGATCTTCCTCATAGTATGTAACATTTCCCAAATATTTCTGTCCGTAACATTTACCAGCCTCGTCGTTCACTATGTACAGTTTCAGATCTTTCGGCTCCAGACCGATCGTATTAAAGAATAGCGACACTTGTAGAAACGGTAAAACAATTGAAAATAAGAATCCCCTAAGAACAAACAAAGAAATCGTTTGTTATTTGAAATCGTTTAATTTCTGATTCTCGATATTTGTTAACACATTGGCTGCCATACGAAATTTTTGTACACACATAAATCTGTCTCTATTGGACGGAATGTTTAACTTTTATAAAATACAGCGAGAGTTACAATAAAAATGCAATGAAAGCGCATTTAGCATTATTTACAAACGATATTTAATATTACAATTACAAACAATTTCGTTATTCGCGAACAATGTTTTAACACGTTTGCGATCGAACGGTCAGAGTTCTTGCATAATGTTGCGAGAATATTAGCTAACATTCAAATTCGGGACAATCTCTGTATACGGGAATATTTTATCCAAAATATTTATAGAAGTAGAACCTATTAATAGCCAAATATAGCAATACTTACCCAGGATGACGTATAAACTGAAGCAGATTTTTATAAAGTAACGCCATAGATCTTATTTTCCAGTTGCTTTGATACTTCCGAGACTGAAACACGTTAGTAAAATTGATGCCAGATATTTATCAGAATTCGGAGAATAAATGAGACAAAAAATTTTTTACACACGGAACGAGGGAAATATTTTTTTTTTTTATGATCTCTCCCTGTTAATATATTTTTAGTATTATTAGAATATCTTGATTAATCTTTTTCTTAATAATTTAATATTTTTCCTGGTAAGAATTCCACGATTAAATGAACTGTGTCAGAAAATAGAAAGTTCGAAAATCGAAGACAATTCAAAAGTCTCGTATCTCTACAAATGCAAGGATAAATTGTAATCAGAAGTATCAATTGAACATGTTAATCTTCAGCTCGTTCTTTCCCGTGTCAAGTGTTATGTATACTTTTTGCATCTATGTATGTAATTTTATCCAGCCTTTCGTATAAAAGTGCCCGATTAAGAATACAACTTAAAAATGTTAAAAATGTAATATCATAATACTTAAAAATATTACATATTTAATATTTCAGAATATTATATGTTTTTTAGTTACTGAAATGCCTCTACTTTCTAAGCATACTTAACTATATTCTCTTTATGCTTTAAAGTATCTTCTGTTTCAGCGTAACAAGATATCCCCGTCATTTTTGTTTGCTGTTGCAATTTGTGAAACACACGTGTCTAAGATATCTTTGTTTTATTCATAAATGAAATATTGACTTATCATGGAATTAGAAATGCAATATGTAAATTTTACGTGTTTCGTGTTATTTTCTTAGTAAAATTTTATATTTTAGTAAGTTCTCTCTGCAATTATGTAAAATGTGTAATAACGCAATTCAATACGTGCGGTAGTCTAGTGAAAAGAAACCATTTGTTCCTGTTAGATATTACCGAACGTTCGATGTTAAAATATTACAAAAAATTCACCTGCGAATTATAAATAGGATTGATTCCTCCGGAGGGGCTAGAGATCGAATTAATATTTTCTTGTCGACTCTGTTCTTGTTGTTGCTGGCTCAAAGTTAAAAAAGCTTCCTCTAAAGAGTCGGTTTGAAATCGAGTTAATAACTCGTTTGGTGATGATTCAGCCAGTAACTGACCATTCCTTAGCAATCCAATCTAAAAGTGATGTTAAGCATTATTCATATTTCTTATACTTTTTCTAATCCAAGCCCATGTATACATGGACATATATGACTTGCTAACGTCAGATAGGCAATATATTAATAAAAAGACTAACTAATGCAACGTTGAGAAATAATTACCATATACACTCGTGTTCAAAGATCTTAGCGACTTTTTGCTTTTCAATATTCAGTGCTCGTATTATCATTTTTAATTACATTTAAAAATATTTAAATATTTGCAAACTTGCATTTAAGTGACTAAACAGAAACAAGAAGAAAGAGCATCGAATAGAATCTGAATTCTAGCAAAGTATTCGTTTATCTTCGCTTCGAATATTAATATTTGCTAAAATAACATTAATCTTGATTTAAAATTTACCCGATCAGATTGCTTTGCTTCCTCGATGTAATGCGTAGTAATAATAACTGTGACTCCTTCTTCTTTCGTGATTTTCGCCAAGTGATTCCAGATACTGTGCAAAGGGTTTTCCCGTTTACAGTATTGTTTCATTTATTCACGTGTTGCACGGTGACAAAATCTTTGTTACGCGATTGAACAATAAACACAACATTCTTTAGTCACGTTTAAATTATTATCAACGCACGCGATGCAGTAACATTGTATTATTTGTCGTTCGTATTCTTTGAAATTAAAGCTTATTTTAATTTGTTTTGAGCACACACACACTGTAACTCGTAACAAAAATGTGTAATTTCCACAAATTTTGTGTGTGGACAGCACTTGCATTGTCAGAAAGTTACGTTAATTCTTCAAGGACGTCTGTGCACCACACTGACACTAATAGTGTAATACAAGATATAATAATATTAATAATTATAATTAAACATTAGTAATATTATTATATTTAATATATTATACTATTTATATTAATATATTATACAAATGAATAGATACTTTATACGAAGTATATAATGTTATAATATAATTTACTATCAGCATTTGAAGGTATAAAAATTATCACTGAATCGATATAAAACGTTCGTCGAAAGGAAATAGAAACTTTTAATGCAACTGCACCACGTGTCTAATTATTTATACTTATATGTACATGTAATACAGTATGTAGTAAATTATCATTTTTGTAATATGAACTCGTCGTAGCGTGTGTTGTTCGAGTATCCTGATTGACGATATTCATAAGAAGTCCTTATAAATATGTAAATATTTTCATGAGCAAATTTGCTATTACAAAGTATCGATTGCTAATACAAAAAATTCTGTTCCAATCTAGAGATAATCGTGTTTTTTGCACAATGACCAATGTCGACAATGATGTTTGTCACCGAGCGATATCCAGCTATGATGTCAGATGAAGGGAAAAGAGAAATGTAAAATTCAGCAAATTTTTTTTCGAAAAAATGTTCGACGCAAAATTCCCATCGACATTCCCACTTCCCTTTCTCTCCATGAAGCCCTCCTGCAGATAGAAGTAAATGAAAGTGTACTTGCTTGTCCCTTAAAACTGGATCCAAACCGACAGTGGGTTCATCGAGTATTAACAGTTCGGGCCTCTGAAGCAGAGCCGCTGCAAACGATACTCTCCTCTGTTGGCCACCGCTCATGTTCTTCACCAAACGATTTCTGGGTGGTAGTTGAAGCAAGTCCTTCAGTTCAATATACCTTTCCTCTAAACACAACGTTCCCAATCTCGTTAATGTTTCCTCGCATTAATTCGTGGCATGAATTAATGCCCTAATAAACACGATACTCATGATTTTGTTTTTATTTATTATCGTTAGATTGCACCTCTAAAGGCTCACAATAAATAAAATTACTGTCCCCATTAAATTATTTCTAAAGTAACGACACATTGTTATTTCTTATCCCAAGTTTTATGCCTAAGTCTGATCAGCGCGACAGCACGTTTCATGTCAGAGGGTTAAATTTTGTGCAATTGAACGACGAGCAACTCTTTCTGCGTTTGTAACGAACGAATACAACGAGAAGCACGTGTAAATTCTTTGATTACCGATTTCGTAATTCTCCATGCCACTGATTCTCCCAAAGAATTGAAGCGCGTCAAACAGGGAAAATTCGCCGATCAGCGAAACGTCCTGCGGCATGTAACCGATACGAGGTCCTGGAATTCCGCATTCTTTGGTTCCCGGCTTGCCACCGAGCACCCAAATATCACCACTATCCAATTTTCGCACGCCGACCACGCACGAGAGCAAAGTGGTTTTTCCACAGCCGCTAGCTCCCAATAAACTGTATCTGTATAGAGCAATACACGTGTAGGAATTATAACAAGGAAGTGGAAAAATTTGAAAAGCTATCATCAGTTTCAATGATACATCTGCATACATCCCAAATAACACGTAAGAATAGTCGATGTATTTTAAAATGTTTGCAAATATCCCTAAAGAAATAAAATCTAAGAACAAAAATTCATTTTATCTGCTAAGTATTATAATATTTCACTTGATTTTCGATACTTTATTGTACATTTGTTGGCGTTTTTGTACATTAAATTATATACATTCTTGCAATTTCCAATTTTCCATAAATGCATAGAATCTGCATCCTAGCCATCGTATCGTAATTGCATAAATATTATATATGCATAATTAGTCTAGAACTTGTCTCGCAATCATATTTACAAGAAAAAGATCATATAAATATCCATATTCTACTTTTACGTTCCATTATTTCTTTTTTTTTTTTTTTATCATTATGTAACGAGTGCAAAAATGAGGATACTTTTTTTTATCGTGAATTGTAACAACTCAGTCACCTGTAAAAACATTAAAATATTTTGTTCGTGACTAGAATTGTAATAAGAGGACTGGAGCAATTACTTTTCTAATGTGGATAATATAACCAAAAGAGAAATAATGTTGAAGTGTAATACAAAAATGCGAAGTAATACGAGGAAATTAAGAAAATTGTCAGATGTTACATCCTTTGATTGAACTGAATTACTTGAATCTTTTAGCGTAAAAATAATTCTACAGTGTTACGTACTTCGAGGATGTTTACATTCATGGTATATTCTCATTATTTTTGTTTGCTGTCTCAATTCGTAGAAATATTATTTTCAACATATTTATTACGATAACGATAAATTATGATAAGTGACACACTCACTGATTTATCGTCTAATCGTACGTCCAATTAACATAATTCACGTGATGTCTCGTGTAATTAAACGTAATTTAAACAATTGCGTGACTCTTCCTTATTTATTAAACTCTCTTGTTAAGAGATCTAATATTTCAACTTGACATAAAATCCTACTAAAGGATCTAATATTTTATTCTGGCCTAGCTTTTTTTGCACTTATAAAACATATGTACGTCAAGCATGTAATAGCGCAGTTGAACAGTTTAATGCAAAAAAAGACGTTTATTGCTAAAATGTCGTGTTTGTTCGAATATCAAAGTATAATGAGGTGTTGACTGTTGCAAATTCTTAAAATACGACACAAGAAATTGCGACGTGCATCTTATTCGATGTTTTACTCACATGCAGCCTCTAGGAACGTTCACGTTCAAGCCATTCAAAATAGTGACCGCCGCACCGTATCCTTTCTTGGCATTCCGCACCATGACCGCATTTTCCATCGCCATTGTGCGAGATTTTGATTTGAACTACGATTTTCAATCTGGAACTAGAATTTTCAATTATGTCTATAGTCACGAATATATAACGCGTTTCAAAGATATCAACTCGTTATTAACCCTCGCTGCGTCGCAGATGACTGTAGCAACTTATATTCTGAGTATAACATTAACGATCGAATGGATGTCTGTAAAACGGACGTACGTCACACTTTTTTTATAAAATTTACGAGAAAAGTAGAAAAACAATTTATTGCTCAATATAGCAGTTAAAACAGCAGCTCGTGTAACATACACTGTCGTACATAAGTGTTTGAACAGTTCGAAATTATTGTAAATATATAAACTGGAGTTCAAATTTTTAATTTAATTTAATTGTAACATATACAATTAATAGGCCAGCTAATATCAATGAAATGATAATAATAATAATAATGATGATATAAACAGAAAAGAAAAAATTGATGGTGGTTGAAGATTAATCTTGCAGAGACATATTATTTCTAAGTGTTAATAACTCTCACAATCAGTGTGTCTGTTCAATGTCGAAATATTGAAAGAACTGAAATATGTGTTTTTAGTCATTTAACTTTCGAACAAATTCTCTTTTTCTAAACACTCATTCAATTACGTTACATCATGTTAAGTAAAATTTAAAGTATTTAATTTTATGTTGTATCTTATATTCTTCATAATTAGAATAGTAAAAGAAATCGAATTAAATAAAAAATTCTCTTTTCCTTCCCTTATTTACATTATTTTACACAGTATAAATACTGAATTATCATCAACTAGCAAGAGTCAGAAGTAACGGTTACTAGACATAAAGCTAAAACTACAGAAATTCTAGCAAAGCTTATTAATAGGCTCATCTTCTTTCTGGTCATGGCCAACGAATTTTTTATATAATAGAACCCCATTTATACGAGCTAGTTAATGCTGAGTAAAAATTATAATTGATCAATTTCTGTTATTCTTGTTACTATCTCTTATTACCTATAAATAAATTAAAAAGTCAATGAGCCGCTATTATCTAAACAATGTGTTAAATGAAATGAAGTTTCATTGAATTTTTTTGTATTCTTGGAAGTATGCTTCTAAGAAGGAGACTGAGTAAAAAGCGAGACAATGTAAATGTAAAAGTTGTAAAACACGAATGTATATACGACTGTAGTTACTCAGACAAAGTCAAATAATTTTATATACATGAATGTGAAACGGAAATAATTATGTAATTCAAAAAACTGAAAAGTGTTGTAAAACTGAAACAAGAAAAATCTATGAAACAAAAATGAATTTTTACGCATCAAATTATTGTATAATTAGTTTCCGCAGTGTAACGTATATCAGATGAATCAAATAATATATTCAAAATTATATGATTCCATTTAAAAAAAAAGAAACAAAATTGATCTTCGAATCTTCCCCACCATTCCCGACGCATATGAATCAAAAAGACGAATTACATTTACATTTACATTACAGAATGTTCACTTTCGAATTAAACAATTTTTGTCAGAACATTTTCTTTCATAATTTTAATCTTTCGGGAGATATCCTATCGTTTCTAATTAAAATGAACACTCTGTATATCTGTTCGCAACACGGACTCCAGTTGATGCGCTCTTACTCTCAATTTTTCGCTCTCGATTTTCACTTTTGCACTCGATTAAGCTCACCTGTCACCGTTCGTCCTCACTCATACACCTATTCGTCTTTCCTCTGATCACTCACTCTGTATATAAAAATATATCGCACCTTGGATACTTTATATATTTTTTATATTATCTTTATATTTTCTATATTTCTGTTTTATTTTGTTTTATTTTATTTTGTTTTATTTTGTTTTATTTTGTTTTATTTTATTTTATTTTATTTTATTTTATTTTATTTTATTTTATTTTATTTTATTTTATTTTATTTTTTTGTATGTTAGAGACTGATTTCAAGAGGATGGCGATCTTCTCGATTCGACGGTTCTGGAGTAAATGCCGAGTGGTTAAAGTTCCATAACTGAAAGAATTATCATTTTCCCCCACTCTGTGGTCAGATCCTCTCCGTCATTTCCAATATTTCCTACGAAGACAAAGTCAGTTACTTGCAAATTTCCCGAAGTCGCGTGTTTGATCGAGAATAAAAGCACTCTTACTCTTTCTCTCTTGCTCTACGTGATGTCAAAAATATTTTTAAAAATAAAACAACTTAGGACAGTCAAAGTAGAAGCCTTACGCTTTAAAATGAGACTGCACGATTTTCTTTTACGACATTATAACAGTTCAAGGTATTGATGAAATTTTTTGTAAAAATCACTCTTAGAGAAACAAACGCATTGTTGTTCATTGTATCAGTATAGATATACATATCTGATACACACTAAACTATCGAACACATAATCCACAGGAGAACATGGATGATTTGTGGGAACTGATGGGACTAACAGCAAGATAAGCAAGCCAGTGTCGAAAAATCCAGATTTCTACGGAAATCATCCCCAAATACTCAAACCTGGAACAAGTCCTGGAAAATTTGGACGAATGGTAGCCTTCTTTAGAAAGTTTGGATTTATGAAATGCCCGGCCATTGGGGAACGAAACGGAAAATGCCACGTCCATTGTGACGAGTATTGCTGGCATGTCATAAATCAAGTTGTGAAAAAATTCATGTACATGTTTGGTTCTGTGTAACGGAATGCCTTATCGAATTGAAGAACTCTTGTGATACACAGGAAATTTTACATTTGTTAAATGTTTCGCAGATAAATATTGAATGCAACTCGAAGCATTTCTGCAGCAATACATGGTGCACCACGATGAATGTGTAATTTATTTGTGTTTTAATTCAATTTCAAACTCATCAACTTTACAGAGACAACATATTGAAATGAATATACTGAGATGAAGCATATTTTGAAGCAAGTATATTTTATTTATATTTTAAGCACATTTTAATTACGTGTGAAAGTTTCACTAATCTCTTTTATCGTTTGAAAGCAGAATATTTCGAAAGAGGATAGATTTAGAGATACGTTATCAATTATTGCAGGTTTCTTTCAATTTCGACCTTCATTGGAAGTTTTCTTTTCTGAATTATTAAGAAAAATATCAAAAAAGGTAGATGACAGAAACTTTCAGTTATAGTTGAAGAAAGATAAATTATCGATATATACGTCACGTGTTCAACAAAGATGGTTCGTTTGGATAATATCTTTCGCTATTCTAAAAGATCTTTGCTCCGTCGGTTGCGTACTATCGAATAGATGTGGTTCTTGAGAAAGAATTTCGCCAAGGACATCGACGCTGTTCTTCCATTTGCATTAGACACGCTATTCCTTCTTGCAGCAGCCTATTTTTTGCATAATTCAATAATTGGATTTGCTGTGAGAATTTTCTCTTTCTGACGTTCTCAATTCTCTCTTTTTCGTTTTCAATTCTATGATTGAGGACCGTGAGAAACATCAATTTGGACGGTGTGTCATATTTCACGCTTACGATCAGCTTCGCTTCTACAATTGACACAGAAATGTAGAAAGTTCGTTTAACGCCGCGCATTTCAATAAAATAATTAAAAAGTTGATAGATTTGACCTGTTTCCTTGCTCAGTGTGCAGATCATCGAAGAAATTGTTTAACAGTATTTGATCGTGAAATAATAATTTCTTCTTTCTCCATATTCGAATTTCAATTTTCTAGGATTCTCCTTTTAAAGTTCTTGTATTCCAGTCTTGTATTTTTCTACAGTTGCTCACGATATATTTATGAATAGTTGAGACGATGGGACATATGATAGGAATACAATAGGGTATTCTGTATGAATATTTTGTGTACGTTAAATAAAACAGTTTGAAATTTCATTAACATTATACAAGTATGAAACAAATTTGAAAATATACAAATACGTTTTCATATTTATATATTAAATCATTTTATTAAAAATAGTACAGAATAATATAAAATATATAAAAATTACGAGATGTTTTTAATACAAATACGTATTTTATACAAACCACAAAAGTACTGTATATTTAAACTCCATTAATATCAATAAACTTGTATATTAAGTAGGATTATACATATTAAATGCTTAAAATACTACTCATGCTGTATATTAATTTTTTGCTAACTGTACGTTTACCTATATACATTTTCAGATTGATTTCAAATTATAATCATCTCCCATTGCATCGTTAATGAAATTTCAAAATGTTTTCCTTAACAGTCACTGTAAATGTGATTATTGTATCTTTGCATCATGCTTAAGTGAAGTAAAAATAATTATTTGGAACTGGTAAAATCATAGAGAAGATATAAAGTAAGAATATAATATGATATCCATTAGAATTTTAGGAGAGGAGAAGGAAAGAAGATTGTATTTTTAACTGTGGTATATATTAGTTTCTGGGATATTAATAAAGAAAACTTTGAATGCATTGAATTTTGCTCATAACAGGCGTTACCAATACAAATCATTTTTTTGTCGTACGACTGTCATCATTGTAGTAGTCGTCACCGTGAACTGTCAAGTAACCGATGACGTAATGGCGATCTATAGAGTGCTGCACTTAAAATTCAACATCGACGAGTTTCACCAACAACATTTTACAGTTAACTGATGACTGACCACCTCACGACAACCAGTTCAAAATAATTGACCCGACCTTGCACCTAATCTAATTCAATTTTAATAACGGCAAAATATGTGAGCAAAATTCGATGTATTGTTGATGAAAATTGATGTTGGATTTTAACAACAACACCCTATAGACACTGAGGTCGATGTCACTGTTATGTAAACTAGTTCCTCATTCACCAACGATGACTAACACAGTCACAATATCTACATAAATCAATATACATATTGTACTTAAAGTTCTTTATTAACATCTCACAGATTAATAAAGACAGTTAAAACTTTGTACTCACGATCTTATCCTGCTCTTCCTTCCACCTCTTCAAAATTTCGTTTCAGTCTGATTATTGGGCCAAGATAAAATCACCATTTACTGTCAAATGTTCTGACGTCCTGATCCGTTAAAAAAACTGGAAATCTAATCTTTTATCTTTAGTTATGCTTTCTATATACATTGCTAGGTCTTTCTCAAATTATAGGAAACTAGATTTGGATTTCGGATTGCAGAACATTATTCAGAGTGTAATGACCATGAAAGCTTTAAATACGCTCGAAAATCAAAAGCGAGATGCACTTATTTATTTCTTACGCAGTAGACTTTTTGAAATTTTGCTATCTATCCTACGCTAGCTTATCTACGTTATATTAATTGATATTTTTATGTTAATATCTTATTTTCTAATACCGATGTTGTACATTGTTTTGATTTATTGAGATAACAACCCACCTCGTGCCTTAGGAAAAGAGAAAAAGCATTCATTCATCGATTCTCGTGCAGTCAGTTCCAAATCCCGTTAGCTGAAATAAATGATTATGTCTTTCCGAATATGGAATCAACGTAATCATATTAAGCGGTGTCGATGAAATTTCAAAATGTCTTGCACGTGCCTGTATAAAACAAAGGAAAGAAAATGAAATAAATAAATTACGTGCGTAGATGTAAACGATTTATATTTATATTATATTTCATAAATGTTACCCTATAATAAAGATTCGAGTATCATTTTAAGCCACTTTGTAAATCTATAATATCAGTAAAGTAAACTACTCATTTTGCAGAGTTACTAAATCTATAAATTCTATCGAGCCACCATAATGTTTATTCTGCTCCAAAGGCATTCACTGCGCCGATCGTCATGCGAGTAGTGGTACAGGAGTTCAATGACATTAAAACAGTTAATGTCGGATACGAAAGAGATTTTCACACGAACTGCTGGTATTATCATTCGATTCGTGCTCACGTTAAATATCAATTACTTCGGTGCGGTGGTCTTACCTATTTGTCATTCCGTGTATTTAACTTCGATATACATTATCGTAATCGTGTGACACGAATTTATAACGCACTTGCTCTTGTAACTCTAATAACAACGATATTGCACGAGAAATCGAGGAACTTTGAGATACAGTCCGTTTTCAATGTCCAATTTGTAAACGTATTTGAAACTAGATGTAATTTCTTTTACGAACACATTTACAATGAGTGAAATACGTAAATTCTGTGTGTAAAATATGAATCTCGCCAAGTGATATACGTATATTAATATGATATATATATGTTGGTACATGTATATTGGTATCTTTTATTTTAATTTCAGATTTTGTTAAGTAACACGTAATTCAAATTGTATTATATTATAGATATTTTTATGTGAATTAAAAAAAGGAACTTGTGTGTTTTCATTTTTGGTGAATGTAAGAATTTAAAAAGGAGAAAATTCTTATAACTGATATACAATTAAATATTAAATAAAATTACTGAAATGATTAATATTAGTAATATTATATATATATATATATATTTGTATTTATTTATATATTTATGAAAGTCGGTTATTTATACATTTACGAAAGTGATTTATTTATATATTTATGAATATACTTATAAGAAATATTGAAAAGTAGTATTTGACTATGACACATATAGAATATAATGGTTAAATATTTGAGAATTGACTGCGAATTTCAAGTAACTCGTAAAATATTAGATCTTAAATGATCTCTTCATACTTTTCATTTAGGGAGTATAACTGGGCGAATAACCCAGGGAGGGAGTTATTTTCTTTTTTTTATTTAACTGAGAAATATAAATAAAGTGACAAGAACAACATTACGAAGTCTACTGTACTATGAGTACATTAAAGTATACAAAACAGTGTTCTTGTTATAATTATGATTATAATTGTAATTAGAATATATTTAGTTTATACTTGCAAACATTCATAAAATTATGTTTTCGATTTATTTATATATTCTTTTGAATAAGTGTAAAAAACATTGCCAATTTAAAAATGATTTAATATTAACTAACAAATTAATTAAAATTCCACGAAATGTCTAGAACAGTTTTCAATATTTGACAAGATATGTTGAATGACTATGCATTTAATAAAAAAATTAGTATACAACACGTGAGTTGTATTCTAAGCATGTAATAACTATTAAAGGTGATATCGCTATTATTATTGGAATTTATTCATAGAATAAATTGCAGCTATGTAAATAATTTGATCCTTGATACTTGTGTAATAAAATATCTTGTAATTTTTCTTAATATTTTTAGATTTGCTTCATGCACGACTAAAATAATATCTGAATTAATTAATTTAGTACTCATTATATTCATTAGAATATAATGAATACTAAAATCGAAATTTAATGAATTATATGTAAATAATTTGATTTTTGACACTTGTGTAAAACATCTTGTAATTTTTTATATATATTTTTAAATTTATGATTAATGTAATGACGATTTAAATTTCATCAGAACCGTAATGAGATATAAATTGCAAAATATCTTATGTGACATAATGTATTCAACAAATAAGCTGAAAAATATTGTCATTATTTTATAAATATTAAATATCAAATATTAACTAAAATTAATTAAACTCCATAAAATCATTTTCTATTTTGAATATTTGAAATTTGACAAATGTATATGGACTTCTACAACTGATGGTATTGTATAATTGATTCATTATATTATTGACTATATGATTGACTGGGATACATGTATGTATATTTAATATAATATACGTAAAACATACATAGTATAATATAGTAAAATTTTAGCCCATGTAACATTAATCTTTCGATTAATTTCTATATATCGTTTTTCAAAAGTAATCCCAATCAAATGTCTCAATGCATGTCCGTGAAAGAGGAACGCAGTGCAGCCGCAATTTCTTCTTCGGCCGTGAGTTGATCCAAGAAAAAGTGAAACTTCCACATTGGACGAGCCGTTTATTCGATGATAACAGACGTGTACGGCTGGCTCTATACTTTCCTACATTTCTGTCTGATTCTTTTTTCAAAGACCGTTCTAACGCGCACTTTACAAACACTTTCACCATATTTGATCGCGAGATATTTTAATTAATTTCCAAGCCTTATCTCGAAGAACATTATCTGAAATTTTTATCTTTTGGAAGAACGAACATCGTACACCAAATGAAATAGAGATAACTTCTGATAGAAATTTTGTTGCTGGGTTGGTACAAAATATTCAACGAGAAAATTTAGCCTAGGATCGCGTGGATGTTTTTTTAATACGAATCGAAAGTATATAACACGAGAATCGCGAAATGTATAAAATGAAGAAAATATTACATATATTTAAAATTTAATTTAAAATAATTATATAATTATAAAATATATCGCAATATGTTTTATAAATCTTATAAGATAATATATAATATTGTAATATTAATATAGATACTATAATATGAGATTCAGCTTAAAATTGTGTCAACTCTTTCAACATATATCGGTGCGTAATTTACGAAGTATTTCTAATCCTGAAAAATGGATTGACATTGAAATTTTTTTAAAAATGTAAAATATAAAATTTTTTTTTCGGTACAGTCTATTAAATGCTGCGTATTATAGATGTTACTAATACAACAGTCTTCGCTGTAGTTGCCATCGGTGGGTAACGAATAGCAGTACGAACAAACTGTAAATTATCACAGAGGAAAGAAAAGAAGGAAGAACAAAATCGGCGTTAGGAACTTTAAATGATAATACCTTGAGTGAAATCTACGTAACATCCGGCGTTTTTCTTTGTAATCACAGATAAATTCGAAGCACTCAAAAATTGCAGAGAGACTGAGAAGTAAACAAGTACTTACGAGTATGATTACCAAGGAGCAATCAAGAATATTGTGCTGAAGTTATACTTTTTCGTGCGGCTGCCATGTTGCAAATACTAGATAGAGGCATATCCAGTTGGAAGATCCCTTTATAACGGTAGAACATCCGTATATAGATGCATGCACTTGGATCACTTAAATGTTGATATATGTGAAACTGGTCCTGGTTCTGGTTGCAAAGAATGTGGTCTGAAGACCGAGATTGTGTGAAGTTAAATTACCACTTGCGAACCGAGTGATCAGGCGGGGGTTTATTACTACGTTTTTATTTAATTATTTATTTGAGAACGATTGTATTTTCTTTGTTTACTAACTTCCAGAATTTATTATATTAAACTTTGCTATACTTTAATTGTAGCAGTCAACGAACAACTGAAGGTCTATTTTATAAAACTATAAATTTTATGTATATATAAATATATGATATGTGTAATGTATAATTATTATTATTATATAGTAAATTAAATTAGAATTAATAATAATTATACAGTGAATATATTGACTTAAAATATATACATATACATATACATGTATATATAGATGTATAGTTTATAGTTGTATAAAATAGACCTTTTCATTATTCCATATAATATATGTATCATAATAAGAGTTCTAAGAAATAAAAAATATATATACTGTAAAACTATAAATATATAAGAAAAATAGAAGTATAAGAGATTATAAACATAACCATTTTAACTCACTGTTCATTAAATTTTTCGTCTTTTGTAAGTGTGTACAACCGAGCACACGAGAATAAAATAACAGTGTAACAGTCAATTACTTATTTATATAAGCAAGTCAACGCAAAGCGATAAATTGAAAATAGCTTTTTTAAAATTCAAATGCTAAAATTACTATGAACATATTTAACAGGGAAGACAAACAGTATGATAATTTACACGTGTTTAAGTACACGTACAAACTTTGGACTTTATACAAGCATATCCTTGCCAATTCTACAATTAACAGACAGTCGAAATATATTCTAGAAATATATTCATGAATATATCATGATTCTCATCAATAAGTAAGTAATATTGCGAAGTTTCATGCATCATTAAATATTCAAAAACATTAGTTTTTGTATTTATTATTTTTAATATTTATTTGCCTATTTTGAACAATAAATTCAGTCGATGTTCGTAACACGTTTATTCCAGCGCAAGAATTTAAAGTCCATTTTTGTTTAAAGTCCATTTTTGTTTAAAGTCCATGCTCAATCATAGCAATAAATATTTACATCGATACTTTACGTCAAAGCAATATTTCAAATATTTCAAATGTATAATTTCCTTTATGTACAAAACTAAAAATCTGCAGAAATAATATTTCGTATAAATTTATAAATGTTAGAATTACACAATTAAGAAAAGTTGTAATAAGAGAGTAGGATAATAAAACAGCCAAAACTGTTTTGTTTTTGGCACAGATTCTTCAATCCAGCGAGCTCTTAAAGAGTTAAACATTAATACTGGCAATTAATTAACAGACGAGCGAATAAAAAAAAATGTCATTCAATCAGAAACATTCGATCCAGGAATATATACGAAGTTCTAATGATGAATTTATGATGAATCCATCTAAGCCACGATAATATCGTGCAATTTGCGTTGTAATCGCGATGTCATTGTCCCCATTCGCAACTACATAACTACGATGAGAACTTCCATTTCGAGTGAACGTACATATACGTATATAATTCTTAGTATGTGCAACCAACTAGAGCGCGTATAAAGTTCCACGGAATGTCTATCGGACCGGTATTTTCGTCACCGTTTGCCCTCCTATCGGACTTTTCCATCGTATTTTCGTAGAACGTGGCAAACGTTCACCATGCTCGATTTCAAGGCTTTTTCATTACAAAATCCTCGTTGCGAAGAAAGTGTTATGAAGTATGGTTATGAGTTCCCGGCAAACATTGTTGCCATGGCAAATTCAGAATATTACGACGTAATAAAAGAAAATGTTATACTAAAGAAGAAACTTGGAAAATGTCCTAGCCAGCAGATATTTGTGCAAATTTATACTTTTGAGAGTATCATTTTAAAAACGTGCGACTTAAATAGGATTGTTTTGTCCAATAAATATTAAGATGAATATTATACTATGTATATATGTATTTTGAATATTTTGTGCATTTTTACATTTTTAAATTTCCTACAAGTGCATAAAAATTCACAGTCTAGTTATAACTTATTGTAAATACTTTACTTTGGATATTTTAAATATCATTTGGAGCAAATGTTTAGAAATATTCTTAAAATTTAATTATGACACGTGAATCTTTATCTTTCATAAATATTTTTTGAACATTTTTCAATATTTTTAAATATTGTTAAAGGTGGTTGTTTATTTTTAATAAATACAAATATTTATTATAATTTTATCTTTTTGGATATTTCTAAATGCGATTTCATTAAACACACTTTATTTTTATTTCTTTTTATTTTTATTTTTAAATATTCTAATTATTTGGATTCTGTAAATTTTTGTGATGTTACATTTACATGAATTACAACATTCGTACAAATTTAACTATTTATTCTCTATTTCTCTATTAATTCTGCATTTCTTTGTTCCATGCCTTTTAGCAATCGAATATCCATTTAAAATCAATTACGCTTCATTTTCTGTCGAAAGATTTTCGTCAGCCTAATAATGTTGTTTTTCATAAAGATAAAATGGATTTTCCATTAACCACGGTCATTTCTGAAATTATATCTGTCGAAAGATATGTTACAAAAACATACTTAACATTCAAATCTTAGAATTATTTCAACGAAGATGTCCCAAGCATTGTTTGAGAATAAATGAGTTAATTATGCTTGAAGATTTCAAAGAGCTATTCATATTCAATCATCAAGTAGAAAAAGCAATTCGATTAGAAAAACCATTTTAAGAGGCAAGCTTTTCAATAAGAAATTGATTTCAAGATCATGTTTGATGTGACTAATGACATTTTTAGTAAAGGTCGAGGCAGATGGAAGTTACGTCAAATGGATATACATACATATATTTTTCGTATGATAATTCTCACGATGTATACTTATGATAGTAGTTCAATTGAAATGCGATATGAAATCGAATAATAATCTATGACATAGCTGATTTTTTAGACAAACTTGTTATTTGTTATTTATTTATTATTTTATTAGTTTTATTCTAATAGGAAATTTTTTTTATCATTCCTTGTTATGAAATAAGTTCATACAAGGAAAAGTGTTTTCATTTAATAGTTCATGTTATTCAAAATGAATATTTTTCCATATTAAACTGTTTCATATGCACATTAGGTATTCAGTATATCGTTGCAAAAGAAATCTGTGATATAAGGTACAAGATTTTAATTTAAAAAGCAATACGGAACTGCGTAGAATCAACGATAAAGATTTATGAATAATAAATTTACTTTTTTCAACAGGAAAAAAATGATCATGAAAATTTCCTTTAACATTGAATGAAATTCATGGAAACAATTCATGCTAAAAAATTCCCACCTAAATGATTCAAAGTTTTATTCACTCTACTGTAAGTATATAGTAATTGTATATAGATTTTTTTTAAGATTGTACTTTAACCTCTTGCTCTGGAAATTAATTTAATAGAAGCAATGTTCAAAAAAATTCGAAGTGAACTTGATTGCTTTAAACAGTAAATTCAATTGACGCACCTAACAGATAAATCTCATTTCAATAAGTGTATATCATGTCATTTCAGCGCAAGAGATTAAATAAATGCAATAAACGTTACATAATCAATACTTTAGAAATTTCATAATTATGAGTAACAAATTTTTTAAATAAAATCTATAAAATGTCAAAAATTAATCTTTCTCTGTTTTAAATATTTGAAATTCGTCACATACATACGTGAGGGATATTTGTAACATCCAAACATACATTTTATAACGCAATTCTTTTCACAGATTCTTTGCTCCATAAAGTATTACGTATTTAATTCAACTTTTAAGTTTAATTTTAAAGACTGCTTCTTCTAAAACTTCTAAGCATGTTCAATGCGAAAAGTAACTTTATTAGTTTCTATATCTTTCTTATTAACATAATTGCGCAATAAAGTTACTTAAGAAGTTGTTTAATGCGCAGAAAACGTCTGATAGTTTTATAAATAACAATTCTTTTGTAGGAGGAGGAATTCAAGATCATTTCAAAATGAAATTTGAGATTCTCTATAAAAAAATGTTAATTTATGTAGAAACAATTAGTTTAGAAGATATTTTAATCTCAAATTCGAGAGAAGGCATACTAGCCCTGTTTTTCATCCACAAATTTTATAGAATTAAACTTAAAATATTTATCGAATTAATAATTTTTATTAATTAATAAATTCATATATTCAAGCTGATTAAGATTACCGTTGAAATTATTCGTCATATATTCATTTAAATGAATATTTATGATCTAAATGAGACACATATGTAATCATTTAAATGAGTCCACTTCATACTTAGCAACGAAACAATATGAAATATTACAATCCCCAGTTTTTCCTATTTTAACCTTTCCTATTAAAACCCTTCGTACGAAATACATACGTAAATTAATGTTTCGACATAAATAATATGAATTAGCTTGAATGAACATTTTTTTACGCCAGTACTGAGCAACTTACTGCCAGAGTAAAACGATAAGACATGGCCGCAAAATCTACATATGTGACTAGTGGGTAACGAAAATAGACGAGTGTAGAAAGTAAATTCGCGGCGGAGAAATTCGCGTTGAAAGGATGGATCAGGCAGCATCACTGGCAGCTAACGATCGCTTTAGTTACTATCTATAGTTCCAGCTAATTCTTTCGCGAAAAGCAGCGATCTTTTACAAGTACTAAAAATCAATCGTTCTACCAATTTAACCCGGTTGAGTAATTAGTCTGGTGTAAAAGTTAGTAGATATATTGATAGTTTTGAATATTCATTTATTTAGTAATTAATTATTTATCTAGTAAGTTAATAAGTTAGTATATTAATATCTTTGACCATTTATTTATGCATTTACTTTGGCTAATGAATTTACGTTTGATTAGTTCGATTAATATACTTCAAAATTTATTTTCATCATGCCATTATTGATAATTTCCATATTGATGATTTTTCATTATGTCACTTCATCATTGTATGCATTGCTATACAATATATTATATGTATTATTTGTTTCATAGTTTACGTTGTTAATTTTTTTTATTTTTACATGTACATCATTTTATTGTACATTATTATGTTGTATTTATTATACTTAATTTGCATTCTATATATACTTTGCATTCTAATATGTTAAAAAATTAAATCGATATTATAAGAACTTGGCGCAAATCTATCTCTTAAGCATTCAGAACGAAAGAGCAAAAATGTGAAAATTTTCTAAGTTGAACATAATTTAAAACAAGTAGAAAAACTGTAATATACGCTATTTCCTGGAAAAAGGAGATTAACAAAAGAAAATAAAAATGCACGAGGAAATCAATGAATGAAAATAAAAGTATATTCCAGCTATAAAATTTCAATTTCAAATTGTTTTCAACTCTATGTGATGACTTTCGATTTATTTTTTGACTCGAATAAAGCGATTCCGAATGGGGAGGAAGGAATGTGCGAGTTTGTACTCTCGCTTTCTTTGAGACAACGTTGAATATAAGCAGAATAAACATTATACAATAGTTAGATAGTCGAATTCCGAGCATGATTACTTTGCAATGAATTTAAATATTCTTCCAACACCATGCGTTGTCATGTCGTAAATCAGTTTAACCATTAACTTGCTTTTGAATTTTACGGTTATGAATAATAATCGCGGTCTTCTCAGTTGCATACTGTCAATTGAATAATAAATCATATTCTTTTTCTCGTTTCTTTCAAGATGCTCTTTTGGTAATTATTACTAGCACGAAATTGCAAATGCAGTGCGACTCAAGTGCGAATTATAGTGGAAGATTAAGTATTCTCTTCCTTACTCTTTATTATGCAACGTATTCTTAAGAGTTATTTCAGAAATTACGTCCCTATCTTGAAACCTGTCAAAATTGTATAATCAAATGGACCACTGTTTTAGCGTTAAATTTCATACTACCGAGATTGTGATTTCCCATCTTAAGTATCGTGAATTAGATAATTAATTAGCTAGTTTCTTCCTTGATTCCTTCGTTGTGTAACATTTTCTGACGGTCTTTTGGAGATCGAGAGTTCCATCACTGACGAAACTTGTGAAACATTACGTTGTGAAAGGAATAGAAAATCGTACAAAAAAAAAAAAAAAGAAATCAGTAAATACTATTAATGATGTCAGTTTGTTATATAAGTTAATTGTTAAAATATATTAGAAACAGAATTTTGTGGGTCCTGTGCTAATCCCCAAAATATTAAAAAATGATATATTTATTAATTTTGACATCTTCCGATCTCTAATTATTATCCCTTTACTTATAATTACACTTTTGCGTGTATACTAATTATGTATATAAATATTTGTCTTCCTTATATGTTATAATATTACATGTTATAATTTCCGTTCAAGAGAAAGCTACACATTATTTCTAACGGTAATAATTATTGTACACACACAGCTTTGCAAATAATGACCATGAACATCTAAACTTCGTGAATAAGATTATTACTATAATAACAGTAGATAATTACTTTTATTTTGAATAAGATAATTACTTTCTACTGTACGTGTATTCCATGATTTTTATAAGAAATTCAAATATAGGATAATGATAAAGAAGAAACTACATAAGGACAAAATTTCAACTGGATTTCTATCGATTGTTAGTTACAAAATCATTGTATAGAATTTTCAGAATTTCCTTACACACCATCTGCCGGAAAAGTTGATTAACTGGTTGTAGAAAACTTGACTATAGAATTATAAAGATTTTTACTGAAAAGTAAAATCGTTAGAACACTGTAACGGATCGTTTCTTGAAACTTAGATGCAAATAGATCGATCTTATACAAACTGAGGATAGGATTGTGTAATGTGACTGTTATACAACAGCTACCGTATCTCTCAAAACCAGAAATTATTTTCTATACTACAGCCTACAATAAATAAATAAATAATTATTTTTTTATCTCCACAGGAAAAAATGTTTCGTGCATATATAGTCATTGGAAATTCGATGGAAATTTTGAATAAATTGAAGAAGAATTCAAAAGGATTGAAACCAGTAAAACTTTGAAGTATTTTTCAAAAGATTAATATTCGTGTGGTGTATCAAAAATAATTCCTAATTACTCGTCGCAAGACTTTCTTTGTCGAAGTGGGACTCGCGAAAATCAGCTGCTCGACTAACATAATTTAATTGATCGATCACAACATTTAATTAATTATTTCATTATTCTGTAATTACAGTATAGTGTAACAATACTGTACAATACAGTATACTGTACAATACAGTATACAGTATTTTATATAATATACAAACAACATGTTAAATAATATATAACATGTCTAATTATCGTTACATCATATATGTAATTATTTCACTTTCTAAAGGCTACCGTTATCTCTCATGACAATTGTGTATTATTCTCCCAAATACCGTTACAAAACCGTAATGTCAATTCCCCGCGCGCGAAGAACGGCAAAAGGAATGTAATTGCATAATATCCGTTATTCGTCCTGCGTTCGCGTTATTCGCATGAAAAGTGAATTCGTTGACATTCTAGTGGTAACAAGCCAAACTTCCGGTTCACTTACCTCGCCGGGGACGATTCTTCGATTCTCGAAAGTAAAACGTAAACAATGGAATATCCTCGCCAATGCCTAGTTGATCAATTCCTTCGACAATCACGAGAACTTCGTATCGTCCTGTTAATCGTTCCCCGAAAACGTCCCAGCGTTCTAGCTCGATGACAAAAACGCGATCGACGAATTATGTTACTCGAAGAAACAAACGTCACAAAAATACGTATTATATTTTATTTCTTGCTTTCTTATTCTTAGTCAAATGTTTCTCGCGGTGTGCGCAACTTTCTCGAATTTCTTCGCACTGAACACTTTTCTCTTTGCTCCACAAGTTTAATCTTTTCCCGCGAGTAACGCCGGCAATACTGAGTACATAACGAAACCACAGTGAAATATATATGTACACGTATATATCGAAAAATATATCGATAGTCACGATAAAGTATAGTTGGTACGACGACCGTTCGTTACACACTTGTCAATCGAAAATTGCTTGATCATCGATTTCCAAAATAGTCTCGCTAATTTAGGCCACGAGTCAAAATGCGTTTCCATGCGAGCCAAAATTTTTTAGCGTCCGATCGTCGCACCGTCGAACACCTGACTACTTGAGTGAGCCATGGCAAACCTGTTCTCTTTAAGAATCAGGATCAAAGTTAGCGAGGGTGGGGGGTTCGAAGCCGTCTGACGTGCATTTATTTCAAGAGTGAGTACATTTTGTGAGTACATTCGAGAGAAAGGAAGAAGGGAAATAGCTCTTTCCCTCATTGGCTTCGAAGATACTCGATTCGATTGTATTTGTGTTGTTAACACACGCTAACAGTGATCGCTGAACGTGAAACATACGTATTTTAAATATTAGTACAGGTTTGAATTTATCCGAATTAATTAAATTCACTATGAATTTAAATACAAGGTTATAAATTTAAAGCCGAGTTCTAATTTCAGTTTAAATTTTATTATAAAATAACATCTCAACTTTGAAGCAATCTGATGCTTCGTATTAAGGGAGAGATGGGTAAAAATTAAAATATACATAAGGAATTGTTACAAGACAAGAACTTTACTCTTCCGTTTCGATATTTTATTATTAAAAATTAATAGAATCTGTAGACGTAAATGTAGCAAATTTAAATTTATGTGTTTGCTAACAATTTTACCGACCAATAGCAGTAAATAGCACCCTCGTCTTGATATAATTCCCGTATTCATCGTTAGAGTGCGCTAAAACACCAGTGATGTTTTACTATGTCGGTATTTCAGGTCACGGTTCACAAAACCTCGTAAAATGTTTGGTCTATTGATATATCTCGTCTGTGGCTGTGATATTAACTATTTTTAAATATACTTATTTCTGCATTTTGTGTTATCCATTTTAAACATATCGCACATCTTCAAAATATGTATCTAAGACAAATTATTACGTAAAACATTAAAATTATTCTTAATTCTTGATCTACTATTGTTCTTCTTTAAATGTTTCTGATTACAGGAGCACTTAACCTTATCCATGGATTTCCTCATTCAGAAAATTTCTTTCAAAGTCTCATACGTTTAACCTGCTCAGCAATCACAATCCCATACAAGAGAACGTGCAATCATATTAGACTCTATCGAAGGTACTTTGATTTAAGAATACATTGGCAACTTATCGGCTCGTCAAATATCAGATTTGTATTCAAACTTTCTCGAGGCTAAGTTTGCTTATACCAGATAATAAGTACATGGCTGACAGATTAACTGACAATCATATGGAAGTAAACATCAAATCTTATTCCTTGTAAATTTGACTTATTTCTCATTCCTTGTAAATTTGACTTATTTCTTAATCCAAATGCATAATATTCTTCAATGTGTTCTTTATTTAGCACTCTGTCATTCTTGAAGACATTTGCTAGACAAAATATTAGACTCATCTTACAGATTACCTTCATTGGAGTGGAAAATCATGATCATCCAGGATACCTACACATCTTGAGCTTTTGTTGTCAGATGTATATCTAATCTAAAGATATTTCAAACTTGAATCTATCCAAATAAGTTATGATAATACATCTTATTGGATATATTTATGAGCAGAAAAAGTAGCCTGCTTCTTATGGAGAAAAGAGAGTCATATGGCTAAATTCTGCAAAAACTTTGATCCTCAGCCACTGCTTTTACACAATTCTAGCTTGTGTTACAACGAAATAGTTACTGATTCAGTCTATAGTTTCTACTAGACACGTATGACAATCCTAAAATCCTGGAAATAGCGTTAAACCACACAAGGGATGTACCAGCGCTAATAAAGATCCTTTCCTTTTCTTTACAGAACTTATGATAAAAAGCCGCATCTCAAGAATTGTCAAATGCCTCAATAGTTCCTACCCAGAAGATGCTGTGAATGAGGATTTCTTTCTTCTAGAAGAAAATTCCAATTAGATTAAAGTTCATAGCAATTACTATATTGTTACGGGTTTTCTTCTGGAACTCAAGAAGTCTTAGTTTTGAGCGCCTGAAGATTCAGTCCATCTTAGTCAATAGACATCCTCATTTTCATTGAAACTTACAAGGATAACTTTCGCTTCTCAGGATTCATTCAAAAGATGATGGATTTCTAATTTTCATCTGTAAACGTGGTTTTCAGGCAAATTACGCATATGCTATAATTACAATTTGATAAATCTTACTCTTAAGGTAGATGGAGCTTTTAAGAACCATCACAAGTGCATTTCTGAATGCATTTCTAGACATCCAAGATTTGACAGTGTAAATGTCTCAATCGTGTTGACTAAATTCGCCTTTCTTGGTTGTTCTTCCAAAATCTTAAAATTTATAGAGATTCTCACCCAGATAAAACATATTCTCAGACCAAATACTAAATAAACTCAGATTTCGAAAGCTTAAAGAAAAAAAAAAAAAATAGATGGAGATATCACGGACGAGTAGACTTAACATGGAATGTATTTTTTCATGTTCATAGGGTTCTTATACCCCATTAGCATTTTTATGCCACATCTCGTATCGATTTATATGTTTGGTAAGTTTTCACATCGCTATTAATGAAAATAAAAAAATATATAGACAGTATTGCCGCTCTGTATCTGAGAATAATTTATTGGATTGAATATAGTGATACTTTATTAATAAAAGAATATAAATATAATAAGAATATGAAATATAAAGCAAGAATATAAAAAAGATATAACAATTTGGATAAGGGATTGATGGAAATTGGAACGAAAAATTTATTACATATTTAATTATTTACATTTGTTTAAAAGTATTAGAAAAAATTGACTGAAATGTATTTCTATTTTATTCTATATAAAGGATTGGAGGTGTGAAATAAATATTTCTGTAAGTATTGTTATCTTTTATCTCAAGTTAGTTTCGAATCGCGCGCGTAGTTAACGATTACAGCGCCACTACACGGTAAAATAGGTAATACACCTCCTACGATTCTCGAACGAAAATCGATATTTTTCGTGATCGAGTTTTGAACGGTAAACATGGCGGAAATGAGCACGGTTCATCTGTAGAGAAGGAAGTGAAGAAAAATTTTTACCCAGAAAAGTCACCCAGAAATAGGTATTATTCAAAAGTTCTCAGACAAATATATAAATCAATAGTTATTAGATTTGTGTATGTATTGTGTATTTTTAACAGAAAACGTGCATTTCTGGCTTCAATTCAAGGTAAAATTCAACCAAAATTTAATCGAATTGTTACATATTATATTTATAATTTTCAACAATTAACGAAATAATCGCACATAAACATTTAAACAAAACATACTATGCATAAGTTATATATAATTTTATACCAAAATTTAATTGCAATTCTAATCGTTACAAATATTGTGTCCTTGTAACATATTTTTTTTATTATATATATATCCTTTTACTTCTATTGTAACATTTTCTTCTCATTTGTCGATTCTTTTACCTTATACTGTGTAATTCTTAATAATTAAATTCAACAATAATTTTTGAGGATGTACGTATTTAATGGCTAAAATAATAATTTTACTGCGTATTATAATAAAATTTCTCATGTCGCAGTTAAAAGTATTGACAATTTTTCATAAAGTGTATCAATATTTTCGTTCGTTTTTAAGAATTTCTCATGAATTTTATATATTTGACTTAAACCAGAGTTTATTATTTTTTATTCCAAGTTATTATTTCCTGCGACACGCGCGATTACAGCGCCTCAGCGGTGAAACACGTAACACACTTCCTACGATTCTTGAACGAAATCGATATTTCTCACGATCGATTTTTAAACGGGAAACATGGCGGAAAGTAGCATCACACCTCTTCTGTAAAGAAGGAAGTGTTATCCAGAATAAAGGAACTGTATCTAGAAAAATCACTCCAAAAGTTCTCAGGTAAAAATATAAATCAATCGTTATTAGATTTGTGTTTGTATTGTGAATTTTTAAAGCAAAATACGTTTTTAGCTTCAATTCAAGTTAAGATTTAACCAAATAATTATTACATATAATTTTCAACAATTAAAGGTAAAAACACATAAACATTTAAACAGAATATACTATGCTAAAAATTATTTATACCAAAATTTAATTTTAATTCTAACCATAATAAATATTGTGACCTTGTAATATGACTACCTTTGTATTATATGTATACATAATATGCTTTTAATTCTATTGTAACGTTTTCTACCCTAATCTAAACTCATACTGCGTAATTTTCAATACTAAATTCAACAATAATTGATTAAAGATGTAAGTATTTAATAGCTAAAATAATATAATCTATTGCATAATATTTAAATAAAATTTTTCGTATCTCAATTTAAAATACTGACAATTTTTCATCAGCTGTGTGAATATTTTTGTTCTTTTTAAAGAATTTCCCATGAATTTTGTGTATTTGATTTACAGAGTTTTTTATTTTTTTGTTCTAAGTGTGGAACGCGTGATTACAGCGCCCCAGCGGTGAAATACGCAATATACTTCCTACGATTCTCCAATCAATATTTTTCATGATCGATTTTTAAACGGCAAACATGGCGGAAAGGAGCACGCCTCATCTGTAAAAAAAGGAAGCGTTATTCAGAAAAACTACTAAAAAGAATTATTATCAAAAAGTTCTCAGGTAAAAATATAAATCAATAGTTGTTAGATATCTGTATGTATTGTGTATGTATTATTTTTAAAATAAAACGTTCATTTTTGGCTTCAATTCAAGGTAAGGTATAACCAAATAATTACATATAATTTTCAACAATAAAAGAAATAATCGCATATAAACATTTAAACAGAACATACTGTGCTAAAAGTTATTCATAATTTTACACCAAAATTTAATTTCAATTCTAATCAGTAAAATCTATTGTAACCTTGTAATTTACTAATTCATTATGTGTATATATATATATGTATTTCATTATATACTTTTACACACATACTTCTATTACAACATTTTCTACTTATTTATTGATTGTTTAACTTCATATTGTAATTTTTAATAATTCTAATACTAAATTCAACAATAATTTATTAAAAATGTACGTATTTAGTAGTTAAAATAACAATTTTACTGCAAATATAATAAAATTTTCCATTTCTCCAATAAGTAAGGCATAGAAGGCCTTGAGGCTCGAAACTCGTAATTCAAAACAACATAAACAGAACTGTGTATGTAAGGTTCTTAATATTGCACCTATTTTTTTCTGTGTTGCAAATAGACATTTTCGACTAAACGTGTCGAGAATGTTTATATTCGTCTTATCGTGCCTGTTCGTTCAAGTTCACCCCATCTACTACTTTTTCCCCTACTACTTTCTCAATTGCGAGACGAGACGTGTCGCTGAAAGTCATTCGGCTCTCGAATTTTGTGACAACAACACGTATTACGTCGCGTTAGGTTCGTAATCTTTTCTAATCATCGGTAGCGTTTCTTCGATAGCGTCGCTTCTTCGACACTCTTTTACTTCCATTTTTACCTCATTAATAGTATATTTAATTAATACACGTGTGTTTAACGATTAATCGAGCATTACGGTAATGAAATCATGTAATACTTCGAAACTTTTCGCGTCGATTCTTCTTCAATCGTCGATTTCACTCGTACGGTTGCCGGTAGCTTATCTCGTACATTTCTTTAGTAGAATTTGAGGTGATTATCATTTCATTTTTATACGTTTGCCTTCATTTGATATATTTGTTCTAACTTTTGGTTTCTTTTTGTGCAGGTTATTCCTTGATTCCAGAGACAAGATAGAACACATAGACGGGACGATTATTAATGGACAATCTGATATTCTTTGACGAAAATTTGGTAACATTTCATTTATTTTAGGTATACATAAACAATTGATGCGTAATTAAACGATTCAAAGCAAGATTTCACATGCGTTTTCGTAATATTATTTCTTAAGACTACATTTGGTTGTGAAATTTTCACTTGTGAAATATTTTTGAATATTTATAACACTTGACGTGATATATTATTAATTTGCATACTTCCTACTCTAATAACGAACATTCAGAATACAATATTCGTCTTTCGTTTACAGTATTCAGTATTGAGATATACTTTATAATTTACATGTAATATCTTTAATATATATTCAAGTTTCTTTACAATCGTGTTCTAGAAAAATAGTAGTATTTTCTAAATAAACGTCCTTCTCTCTCATCTTTACTAATCAGCTTTATTTTCGAATATTTATTTTCAGATAGTTTTTGTGACCACGAGCAAAGCGGTCGGTAGAGTCAGTTTGTTGCGAAGTATTTTCATATTTTTCTGAGCAAACTGGCTCTTGTTAAATTAAATAATTCATTCAAATTGTAATTCGCGAAATTAGAATCAGTGAGTTCGTCGATTGTTACTTAAACACGTTGACAGTCTTTTATTTTTCTTTTTTTGTATTCTTTCTTGTGCAATATTCGTTTTCGGTATTAGAGTCAGTGCTCAAGAGGATAAGGCCTCTCCAGGAGATCAAAATCGTAAGTATATATTGTATCTTAATTTATTTAATTTTTCAAATTTAACAACAAAATATAATGTTTGATATTTTGTTACAGATCTTCTACAATCTCCACTTCCCCTAATCTTCCAAGAATCATATGACGTTTCAAAAGCTAAAAATGTAGGTACTTTAGCACGTTGTATTTAAATTTTATTTTCTATAGTTTTCTTTTTACTGAAATCGAATGTAAAATTATAATTATAAAATAAAAGCACTTAAAATTATTAGTCCCAATTTTTATCATTATTAAAATTTAATTTTTCACAAATAACATTGTATTTTTAGAAAATACAAAATATTTTATGTTTTTTAGAAATTTTTCACGGCGTTCACCATGGGATTTTCAGTGGTATCTACTTGATGAGAGTCTTCACGATAACTTTCCCTGCTTCAGTACAGCATCGATGACAATGTTTTTCACATCTATCGTGTGAGTCGCATGCATTCATGTTCCTCCGGTCACTCAACCATGTCGTAGGATGAAAGATCCGAATCGGCACGGGTGACTGGTTGTATACGTAGAATTTTTGATGAGCATAGTGACCGCGGGTATTTTTTGTACCCGTGAGTAGTAACAATTTTTTCAGCTTTTTTATGTATTAGATTCAGCTTTTTTATGTATCAGGATAGGGCTTCTTGCACATCGCGATTTTAGTAATTAGAATATTTATATTTATAATAATTACTTATAAAATCAAACTATATTCAATATAAACGTTCGCAAAAGTCAAATATCCATATGAATAGATAAATTATAAATATTTATGAATAATTATTATTAAAACGATTTTGTTTGTGCATATCATAGTAGAGAAGATGGATATCCTCCAACTTCGTTGCTATGAAAGATGCAGTTATTACTTGTTGATACTAGTGATATAGTTTGTTATAATAATTAATTATTTTTAATTTTATCTTCTCTTTTATGTCGGTATTAAATGATTTAATTAATTGAGTTTTATAATTCTGAATTTTAGTAGAATTTTTAAATATAACAGATTAGAATTTTTTTCGTAGAAAAATGTATGAAATTTTATGTGCAAGGAGATACTTCGCGACAGGCAGATTTTTGAATCAAAGCAACAAGTTTGAACACTGCTTTTCTCATTTTTGAAAGTATGCTTTGATGAAGAAGTCGCCTGTGATTATTAATATTGTATTAATATTTAATTTAGTGTCAATTGTTTGATTTTGATTGTTTGAATCAATTGTTAAATTGTTCATAATATCTTTTTTAATAAATTCAGATCTTGTTCATTCTCTTTATTTTCTTGCATTTTCAATAATTTCTGAAAAAGTAAAGTCATTAGAGTTTGAAACAAAATAATGCAATAGTCCGTTAGATACAAATTACATAAACTAATCATTTTTTTAGTCGAGGATTTTCAGGTTTAACCCCTTCCGTGTTCATTGTCAGGATCTCACTCACGTGCCCAGGTGCTACTTGGGTGGGTGAAAGACATTGGGCACGATGACCATAGTTTGTAATTT